GTTAAAACAACTTTAAAATAACATCAATACTTACTTGTTATAAATTTTTTACCTGAAGACGACTTAAATTAACGGTAGAAACGCTGTCTTATGAGAAAATAAAATTCTTATATTAAACTGTTGTCGGTTATTCCCAAATAAAATTTAAATGGTTAAAATTAATTATAATTATTACGTTTTAACATTGTTTTTAATTAGTTATAATTTCAAAATTTAAAATATTTGGCAAATAAATAATGACTGATTAAATATCCAAGTAAAAAATTAATAATGGTTTGTTTTAATTACCTGCAAATATATTTCCTGCAAAATCTAGCAGATTTATGTGGCAGCTTATATCATATGTTAGACTACTACTTGTCAATAGTGTTACACAGATATTGTAAAGATCAAAACCATGAATACTACCAGATAAAGGCTTATCTCGATCTAATGAAAAACTTTCAAAACACCCCCATGATGTCGAATAGATTGTAGGTGGGTAAGAAATGGATAATCTTCGAAGAGTTTCTATGCAGCCATACTTAAAAATACCTCCGTTAAATTTTTAAAGACAGAACACCTTGGTGTGTCTTACTTACAATAAAGTATTTCGATTTAGAAATCAACATTATTTCTTTTAGTCCCATTACAACTCTTGATAAACTTTGACAAACTTCTTCTGATATTTCTTCATTAATTTTATTGAATGGAAAAACTAATTCACTTATGAAACGTTTTTTTATGGGACTGATATCGTTTTCATCATGAGGCATCTCTGAAACTTGCTCTTTTCTAAACTGCTTTGCCTTATAAACAGCGTCATCAACGTTGTAGTTATCTTGAGGAAAGTAGAGATAAGGAATAATTCTGCATTAAAAAATGAATTAACATCTTATTAACATTATTAATTATTTTTATAGTTACTTCACTATAGCTTTTGAACAGGTTTTTCGCACACGCGGATCGTCGTCTTTCAGCATTTCAAACAGGACGCTGTACAAAATTTTGTTTTGGAAATGAGAATTGCCAGTTATATAGTAAATTGTGGTGTAGCACAAATCGCTTAAGACTTTCAGCAATTTTACCTACAATAAGTCTTTTTTTTTAGTAAGATAAATAAACAGCTGTAAGGGCACTTGCCTTAACCAACCAATAAGGATTATTTATGACAAAAGGTAATGCATGCAAGAGGGGTAATGCATGTTGATTATCATGTGACTGCAGTAGCTTTTGCAACACTCCTTCTAATCCTGTAACAGTCTGTCTTACACAAGTTGATGACTCATCTTCTAAACCCTAACGCATAAAAAATATATTCTTTATAAAAAGAACAAAAAAAATTGACATTAAATTACCTTCACTAGTACTTTAATTAGATTTTTTATATCAAATACGTTTCCTTCAGTACTGAGACTATGTTTTAAAATCCATTCTTTATAATCATTTCCGCTATTAACAATAACAGTTTCGATAAAACTGGCAACAAAACTCCGTACAGATCCTCTTAGCTGGGGATCAGAATGATCACTATAAAGCAAAACATCTGAAATGTACTGCTTTTCGGTTCCACCGTCCTCATTTTTATCTAATGATTGAAAGAATCCTTCAGGATACAACCTAGCGATTGTAGACAAACAAGTTAAAGTCAATGACTTGACAGAAACTCTCATATTTTTGTCAGGTATCAAGCTTCCCATTTTTCCAGCCAGCAAAAACGATTTTGATAACAATCTTATGCAATACAATAAGGGCACATCCTTGTCGTTAAATGAGCCAATGTAGACGTCCTGTACAATTAAAAAATAACCAATAACAATTTATATGTTATATAATATTATAATAATTTAATAGTAAAAAGCCTGAACTGAATCTGCAAACATATACTTAAATTTACTTCTCTAGAGTTTAACATTTTTTTAATTATTTCTGGTCAATAAATTTAAATTCAACATTCAAATATTCGCTTTACCTGCAGTGCATAATATGTATCAATGCTTTTGGTGTCTTGAAAGGAACAGCTTTTCTCTGAAGACTTCTCGCTTAAAACTAATCGGTCGGTATTAGCCGCAATGTAATCAGGCTTGACAAAATCGGACGATTCAGTTTCAGCCAAAGAAACTGCACACTCTGAGCCACCATCAAAACTGGCAATGTCATAATCAGTATGATCAATCGTTGAATTCTTGGCCGGTAATTGTGACGAACCGTCGACATAGTTTATGTTAATTACAGAAAGTTTAGAATCGTCAATCCATTTTTCAATGTCAGGACGAACAGAGTCCAATAAATCTGATTCTGAATGTAATAAATCGTCACCAGAAAGTGTAGTTGTCGTTACACTCAGAGAACCTTTCACAAAAAAAATATATTATATATGAGATAACGTTAAAATTAGTAACATTTTTATATAAAACGGTAATAGGGATAATACATAATTAGTAACAGCATACTAAAAATAAAAAAAGTATAGACAATAAAATATCAAATTACTTACTTGGCGATTTAAACTTTAAACGCGAATTTGCATCAAATAATAGAAAGCTTTTGCTTATACCATCTGGCGATAATAGAATATCTTTACAGTCAGGTGGACAGTATTGTAAAAAAATATTTAACGTTTCCAATGAGGCATTTATAACATTGTGATCTGAATTTGTTAAATAATACAGACAAAGTTCATACACCTAAAAATAATACTTTAAATGCTGTTTATCTAAAAGTATAATACAAATTCTAAAGTTCACCTGTATATATTTTTCAACAGCTACAGTTACTTCTGAAGATTCTTTAGTTACTCCAAAACTTCCTTTCAATTCAGAGTCATATTTAGGACTATTTAAATGAGGTATTACTTGCTTCAAACAACCCATTGCACCAATAATGAGTGCACTTGTATGGGACTCCTCTATTGGAAGAAGTGCATCTAGAAATAAACATTCATAAGAAATAATTAAGTGTTATTAGCTAATATACTTACTAATTAACGTATTGAAGGTAAAAATAAAGAAATAATTAGAATTTTTGCAATGTAAACAGATTGGTAAAATACAGTTAGCTGCTGTACGTCTCAACACTGGTGAAGTACTTTGTATGTTATTCAAAAATCCTTTTAAAAGGGTCTAAAAGTATGTATGGAAAAATTACAATTATATGTACCACCTGAATTAGAGTCCTAACTTTAACATCTGCATCAGTCATAAAGTTTCCTAAAGATGTCATAATTTTGGGCATACTATTTCCAAGGGTTTCATGAATTAATTCCTCTTGCCTTTCAATCACTTTACACAGTACTGGAAGAAAGTTTGCTACGTAAGGCTTTCCTTTATTAGGCCTTATAAAATGAGCCAGTTCTGCAAATCTCCATAGGGCAGCTCTTAAGGACTTTGCATCACTATTTTCTTTTATCTTTTTATGCAATTCAATTTGAATTTTACTAGCATGTCCATCAATTGTAGCCTAAGTTTACAATACCATATTAAGAAAATTACCATTGACAAAAAAACATTTGCTCACCCTTATTAATCTGTTTAGGCATTCATCTCCTACCAAACACACATCAGATTCGGAGTCACCACAAACTTGTAAGAAAACTTGCACAGACCAGCTCAACAAATTACCAAAACTAGGTGCAACTCGAATTGATGGATTTGACAATGTCTCTGTGATGAATGTGCAGAGGGAAATTTTTTCCTTTTTCCTGGAAGAAACATTTTTAAGCCTCATTCTTTATAGATAGGTAATAATACCTGGTAGGTTCAAAACTGAGATTGGAATTTAGAATTTGTTGCAAAGTTTCCAGGGACTTAACCAGTTTCTCTTGTGTTGCCATTTTATGTATATTTCACTAAATTCGCTGAAAAGATCACATGCTGTTTTATATTCATGATATTTTAAAAGATTAATTTCCAAATAAACAACTGTCAAAATCAGACAAATATTTGAGGTTATGTGGATTCAAATCATAGATAATAATTCAAATCAAACAAAAACCGGAAATAAAAGCAAAACCAGCGGCAAAAATAACATTTAAAATATTTTAAATACTGAAGAAATTGAAAACGAAACACAAAAGTTATTTATCTGGGAAACAAAAATATATGTAGNAGTAAATCTTTGAAATTTGTGGTTCTTAAAAGGTAAAAAAAGTAACACTTTTTAGCTCACATCTGGAATGTATTTAAATAAACTACAATGCAAAGCAAATTTTATGAAATACATGAAACAAATACATACATTATTTAAATTTATTCTAAATGTAATTAACGCCTCTTTTTCTTGTCTTGTTTTCGGACCCTGTGGTATGGTCGCCTGGGGGTGTTCTGAGGAGTACTATGTTCTGAGCTATCATCATCGGTGTCACCCTTAAAGTGGTAAGTACAATTTATAAACTTCAATTATGTGCAAGAAAACAATTTACTTACTTTGGTGCTCCAACTAGAGCCATCTTCTACTGATTCTGGCAAAATAATGCATGCAAGCAAGCAAATTATTTGGAAGAGAGCACCCAAATATAAACCATATCTCACTAATGTGGCAGTTGTATCTTCCACACCTATATTCACAGCAGCATTCATTTTTGTAATATAAAGTGGCAGCTCTTGATTATTTATTTTCTAAAATAAATTAGAATTACACACAAATTTTGATTTTTATTATTACTGTTTAAGTGAAAATCAATACGGACCTCACCATAGATATGGCTACTGCTACTGATAGCCCAGATGACTAATTTTAAATGCAAGAACATTTCTTAATAGTAATGTAATCGTTTTTATCAATAAAACAATATCAGTGAACCCCTTGAGTTGTTCAGTCTTTTTGTTTCTTTCAGTCCTCATCCAATACAAAAAAAAATACTTACAAAATATGGATACAGTAGATTGCCATGAATAAAAAAATAAAAACATACTCAAATATCCAGATAGTTTTAAAAGGGGGCATGCTATGATATGTAGGCACAAGTCAGATATAAGACAGGGTTTACTCTACACACTGTAAATGCTCAAGTAGTTTTACATAAATAGCTTAACAGTTTAATTATACAATTAGGAATTAGCAGGAGTAGTCTTCTTTCTCTAAAATCCTCTATTTAAACAGATTTATAAGTTACAAACAATGCAACACCATATGTAACGTTTAAAGCCATAGGGAGCCATATGTAACGTTTACAGCCATAGGGAGCCTTGAACTTACACTGCACACTAAGTTCCTAATTTTTAATCCTTCATATAACAAACTCCTTTGATTGATTCAGCACAAACAGCCGTTTTATTGCCGTAGAATAATACTGAATGATCACCAACAGGAAGATTATCGCAGGTATGTAAAACACAACTTCTTGGATATTTAGACTGGTCAAATTAATTATGACTTTGCTTAAGTATTTATTTTAAGATAGACATTTACTTATTTCTACTTAGCGATTTAATTTAAAAATATTTACAACCATCAAACAAGACATCAACATACTGAATTAAATTGTAAACAAACGATCGCCATTTTTTAGGTAATATTCGATAACTCATAAAAATACAAATTGAATACTTTCCTTTATTTTCGATTAATAAATCCACAATTGTTGACAAATTATTAGCATTTAATATTTGAAGGCGTATTTTTACAATTTTAATCAATTTCAGTCGATAAATTTGTGTTGAATCAGTTAAAAAATCACGATTTAATTCGTAGCAGTTTAAATGAACGCACCTTTGTATAAAACAATAATAATAACACTAAATTTTAANTGTGCTTAAATAAATATTAAATACTTTTATATTTTATAAGCATACCATAATCTACAATTAGCTCATAATCTCCCCTTAATAAGCCATTTTCAAAGCCAGGTTCTGTATGATTTATTTTGCGATATAACTTTTTAAAACTTGGTAGCCCAGCAGTTCTCATCCAGACCATTAAATCCTCATTTTGAAAGCCATTATTAGTAGGATCTTCAATATCAAGTTCCCATACATATTTCTGCCAATTTCTAGGCTTAGTAAATCCGTCAAAAGCATTTTCTAGTGATCCATTTATAAATCCAGGATTTTGAAAATTGACGTTTTTATCAAAGGCCCAGGCAATATCAGTACGAATTAGAGGGACTAATATCCTCTCACTAAAGTTGGAAAATTTATACAATGTTAATGTATCTACAAGAAAATTAATTTGAGACATGTTATTAATTAACCAAAATCAAATTTTACCATTAAACAATGAATTTGCAATAGCACCACATGGAGCAATAGGTAGTTCTTTGTTTGCTTTAATATCAAAAGCTTTTCCAAATGGTTCACATTCACTTGATACATCATTACTTAAAATTCCAAGAATTTGATATTCATCAGCAGATTTAACATACCTTCGATGGTTTTGATAATAATTGCTTAATCCATAATACATAAAGACAGGTCCCTACAAAAATTAAGATTGTAATTATACATTTTAACAAAAATATTGTATATATTACCATCATATCCTGCTCAATTTTGAATGATATGGTACAACTGCATTTAGAATTATTGTGTGAAAGATGTTCATAACATGCAATGCCAGTATCAACACTGGTCTTGTTGGAATCCGTAATGGTTCTGTTACACCTTGTGTAATCTATTACTAATTCATTGACTTGATTAGATACGTGCAAAATACTTATGCCCAAAGGTATAGCAACTATACTTATGACAAAAAAGAAGATGTATACATTTCCTGCAGTAAAAAGTGGTTGCCATGCTTGTAAATGTTGCTGCTTAAATGGAGTATCTATAAAATTATTTAAACAGCCAAAATAAAATGAAAATTTGTACACAGCTCTTGTTAACCTTTTACCTGCGGGTTTTCTATTAACTTTACGCTCATGATCTTCGCCAATGGCCATTATTCCTATATTTATGAAGTAATACTGTGTCTGTTATCATCAAAAATAAATTAAATTAATTCTTTTCTTAATATCAATTTAAAGAATAAAACAAGGAAAATAACCTAATTACGTACTCTCCATAGATATATTGTCAAAGTCATAGATAATATGTCAAGGTCAAAAACCAAACACAAACAATCATAATAATAGAAATGGAATAATAATCATAGATGTAGATATACATTAAAATATTTCATTCTATGGTGGTAACATGATTAATGTATTTTGCTATGGTTTCAGAAACGTCAAAATTTTGGTTATATCCACTTAACCTTCGTTAAGTATTATCATGTAAAAAGTATTTTTACAAATTTGAAGAATTTTTGTACATAACTTCTGCTGTCTCGAATATGCCAGCTCCTGAAGAAGAAACTAAAAATTCTACCAGCATAGTAAGAGACGAAATAGTAAGTTTACAAGTATGAAACTACTTTTCCCAAGTTGTTCAAAACTGAGTATTTCCTATTTTAGGTCGAAACAGCAATTAATTTTCTCAAAAATCCCAAAGTAGCTAGTACGCCTTTAGCTAGTAAGCAGAATTTTTTAAAACGTAAAGGTTTAACAGATCAAGAAATCCAAATTGCTTGTGAGAAATCAGGTGCTTATGAATTACATGAAAGTCAGATTACTGAAAGTCCACGGGTACCTAGTAGAAGTCTAATCAGTAGATCTTATGATCAGGTCCAATATAAATCATTCTTTGAAAGATTGAAAGAAGTGGTACAGAATGCAGCTCTACTTAGTGCTGTGATATATGCTATTTATATGTTCTACAAGGTGTGACTCTTATAAACAAGGTGTTATTAAACATTAATAGTAAATTTCCTTTTAGAAATTTATTAGTCCTTTCTTGTTTGGGAAAAAGAAGAATGTAGAAGAACGTATAGATGAGTTGAATAAAACTGTGATTAATTCTGTAGGAGAAGTAAAAAGTGACTTAACCACTGTAAAAATTGAAATAGAAAGGTTGAATCAAAATACAGAGTCAGGTCTGCAAAGGGAGTTGGTTGACTTGAAATCTGAAATTGCTACTGTTAAAGGTCTTTTGTTAAGCAGGTATTTAATGAATGTACTTTCATGTAAAAGTTCATACAATTCTAATTTACAATCATTTTATAAGGAAACAGTTCCCTCCTGTCAGTCATAGTCCTGTTGTGCCCCCTTCTATCCCTGCATGGCAGATGTCAAGTGTTCAAGGTGATCCAAATGATGTAAACGATAATAAATCTGAAGATTTAATGGAAATGGGATCAGGGTCAGGTTCAGAACCTGAACATGATACTAAAAAGAGTGATAGTAGTTTGGAGATAATGTAAGTATGGTAATTTTGACTGTAAATTCAATATATAAATTATTAAAGCTACATAAACCATAATTAAAATAATAAAATTAAAGACAAATTTAAAATTAAAAAATATTTTATTGGCCACAGTTATCATACACAGTATTTCTTCTACCTGAACTTTAATTTCGTTGTTAATATGGAGTTATAAAAACTTGACCTTCCTCAATTCAGTACTCTATCTTATACTTAACTGACGTATATAAAATAATTAGTTATTTAATAAATAGAATGTTAATTTTGATTTTATTAAATTTTCAGAAGTGGTGTTGGTGATCAGCTTTAATAATACAACCAACGCGAAAGTTGTATTAATGTTACCTTTAGTTTGGGTGTGTAATAAGTAAATTAGTAGTCTGTTAGACCATTAACTTTGCTAGTTTTTTTTTTAATCCAATAAATAAAATTCGTTATTACATTGCAAACATACAAATAGTCGTTTTAATGCCATTATATAACGTAAATTTCGTTGTCATATACATATGTATACATAATAATAGTTTTAATTAATATGTAAGTGATATTTTTACAAAAATTTTAAGTCTTCAAATACTATTACTTACTCCTATAATTTTAACGAGAGCATTGACGTTGATGAAGCACAACTACGCACATAAGGAAGAGAAACTGATTTCTTATATTATCATGTAAAAATGTAAAAAACAGTTAATTTTAAATAGATGATAATTACATTTATCATTTTGTAACGGGACATTAATTAATAATAATTAAAATAAATTAACTTATTTCAAAAACGTTTATTATTTTCTATTTATGTACACAAGTGGTTTGCATTACTTAATTCTTAAC